CTTTTTCTTTTCCTTTGCCTAGTCAAAAAACAAACTTTTTTCATCAACATTCCCCTGATCATAGTCCGTATTGTAAGACTTCATATGCATAAGACACTGGTGCTCTCCACACCCACGAGAAAGCTATTGCCATAGATGAGCTGTTGTACATTTTCCAACCTCTCTGCTCTGTATAAAAATAGTAAAAACTAAACATCTTGGATTCTAGGAAGAATTTAAGCTTCAGCCTAAACCAACTGAAATCAGGCAGTGGTGTCAAACCACTGTGTGGTCCTCAAAATTTCTGTTATCCTGTAACATCTTGAAATGATTTTTTTTGCACATACCTGATCCCTCTTTGCCACTTAATTCCTCCTTAGTCAGATCCACTTCATTTCTACAAGAGTGTGACACCTCAGGACAACCCAGGATGCAGAAGTTCTATCCTTTCTCTTGCATCCTTTCTTTTCTGGAACCTCTGGAGCTCTTCTTTTTGGGATACTCATTTTGTCTTAATTAGAGTGTGACAGCCCAGAGGCAGACTCATAAAGATCATACATGGCTGAGATGTTTCTTTTTGTTTCTTAAGATGTTTCTTTTTCATTTTCCGCTGGCTTGACAAATTTTCATTTGTTCAGAAAGCTGGCTATTTCATCACCTGAAATGTTTTGGCTTCTCCTTACAAACTAATTCAGTGAATACCATCCCTGACACTCTAGTCCTATGTTCTTCACTCACACACTGTGACCAGCTTTGCAAACATCATTTGACTTGCTATTTGTTCTTTATATACTTAGCACATACTTCCCTCTGCAGGAAAGTTGAAGTCAGTAGCAGCTGTAGCCTGTGGCAGCACTGTACAACCTGAAGTGTTAATTCATATAGTTAAATCTACAGAAATGGGTACTTGATTCTGGCCAGCTGCCCTGGCATTATCGTCATGCTTTGAGAAAGTTTTCCATCAAGGTAATTCCAATGAGTTTCACAGATTTCCATTGGCTCTTGACAGCAAATAAGTACTCTGTCAATATCCACACAGAATATTCTAACTTTGGTCAATACTGTTTATAAATATTAACCTACTTGTGATGTTAGATGAGAGAGGCTGGGGGGAGGGAGTGAAAGAACACCTCTATGTCAGTAATACTCAGTCACAACTTTTTAAAGGAATCTGCCTTTCTACCTGAAGTGAATTGTAACATACAGACCTGCTTCAGTGAGCTGCAAGTTGCTTTTGTAAATGCTCCTGGTTCTTTCACTGGAAGCTTCTATTACTATCACAAAATAGCTGGCACAATCAGAAATTAAGTCCTGTGCTTGAGTGACTTGCCCTCCCCATCTAAAAATGGCACTACTCTGCCTATCCACCACCAGCATAAAAGTACAGAGTGCTTTTATGATCACTAGAATTTGATCTATAAAGAAAGTACTGTACTCAAGGGGTATTACTCTGTATTATTCACCTCTCTCAAGTGTAGAACTTTATCTGCTATCTTAGCTAAAAGCATCACTGCATTGTCAAAATGCGAGACTAGAACTGATATAGCCTACAAAAACAAGATAGTTCTTCTTGAAAATACACAGGAGCCCTCACGCTTCTTGAAATTTCACCCAGCTCTGAGCAACACCTAAGACACTCTTCCAATTCTATGTATGTATTTGCACTTGAGAGTCCTAAAAGTTCTACCTGCTTTCTCAGTGGTTGTTTAATTATTCTGTTCTGTTACTTACATTTTTGTAGACAGAAAAACCTCTGTACAAGACAAAGACAAAACTAGTAACAATTAAGCCCTTCTACATGAAGGTCAAAGCTGTGTCAGTTGGATGGAACACCATTTAAACAAAAACTAAGCTGCTACTGAAATATATTTGAATAATTTTTGCCAATTAATGGTTCCCAAGGCAGTTTTGCAGTAGCCTATGCCTATATGGCCATGTAGTTTTGGAAAAGGCCAGCTCTCACTATACTCTCATATGCCAGGCACCATTCCTGATGCCCTTCTGGCATCCTTATGGCTTGAGCGCTCCTTTCACAAGGTGATGTAGGCTCTGCCCCCTGCAGATGTTACAGGTTTTAGTTACTTTAATGCCGATGTAGCCAGTGGTGTTGTAAGTAGGTCACACTGCAGTGGAAATGCTAAGTCACAGCCTGAAGCAGTGGTTGAGCACCTGGTGGGAAGGAAGGGCCAAACCAGGGCAGCTCAGGTGCATGCAGTGCACCTGAGTGACTGGAAGGGGTGGAGGATGCTCTAAATTCTCCTTTTTCTGTTGCCTTGGCACTTTTGGCCTACTAGGGTTCTAATGGTAGGGCACTTGCAGCTACCACTATCATAGCTACCACTATCATTTGTTTTTCTTCCTTCTCCTCTTAAGCTGAAGAACAAATAGCTTGAGGCCATTATTGTTATGAAAAGCACCTGTATTAAAAAAATCAGAGAAAGATGATATTTGTAAAATAACTGACTTCTTGACTGCTGCTTTTACCTTAAGATTTTTAACCTAATAATCACCAGCTGCCTTGCTTTTTAATACCATTTTCTATTTGAAATAATTTTTATTAGTTTAGCAATTCCCATTATTGGACAGCACACTGGCTGCTGGTGACAAATAGCCTTAGTTGTTCCCATCCTAACAAAAAAAAAAAAAAAAGGGGTTGGGAGATCTAGGCTACCACAACCCACTTGCTGCCCAGCATTGGCTTAACCTGTCATCAATGCCACAAGGCTGTAATAATGTTTTTTAAAAGCAAACAGATGAAAAAAGATTAAAGATCAGCCTTTCATGTGCAGGGCAAATTTTTTAAATGAAGTGAGCTTAGTATGAAGGAACATGGACACAACTTTGTTCTATTAAAGTCAGTGACCTCTACTTCCACAGGGCCTTTTAATTGCTCCAGCAAGCTTAAAGCAGGATGCTTCTATTACGGTTATGCAGCAGTCCTGCAAAATATGCACAACTATCTTCTCTTTTTGTCACAATTACAAAAGACTATTAGTCTCTGCTGAGACTTTTATAAATATGGAAAATACACTCATGTTTTTAACACTAATTATGGAGACTTTTAATGATGTACTCTAAACTTCAAAAATGCTGAATGACAGCAACCAAGTGCTACTGCATTCAGCTGCTTTTCTTACAACTTTGCACTGATCTGGAAAACAAAGACCAAACAAAGACTTGTGGCTGAAGGCTGTGTTTGGCTCACATCTTCCCAGTACTAGTTCCACTGATGTGTTTGGTCACGCTTGTGTACAGTCAAACTTACAAGAAATACTTAAAATAACTGTGAAGGTACTTGTTCACATTAGTAATGATGGGAATTGCTGACTGGTTTGGTGGGTTTTTTTTGGCACCATAATCCTGCAAAATATGGGGGCAAGTTACAATCCAAACAGCCCTAGGCTTTCTGCAGTACTGGCTAGCCTTCACCCCCACCAGCTACAGACAATGCCCAAATGAATATGCAACTTCACTTCAGTTTGTGACAGAGCTCCCTTAATTAGCCAATAGTACCATGTATACCCAAACTTCTAATAGAAGGAGAGAGAACACCGTTTTATCAAGATTTTCTTGCACCTGCAAGAAGTCTACTGTATTTTCAAGGTATCTTTAAAGATGCCTATTTGAAAACCTTGCAATAAAAACATGGAACTCAGACCTAGAGCAGACAAAAACAAAGCTCACTGCAACAGTCTGCAAACTGCAATACTCAGGCTGAATGGCACAAGGATTTGGAAATTAGTTCTCCCATCCCTATCAGCATAATGCTGAGTTATTCTACCCAAACACTGTTGTTTTGTTTTGGTTTTTTTTTTCTTTTGTCTTGGTCTCAGGGGATTTAAATATGAGATAAAGCAAGCCTCCTCTTTCTTCCTCTCACATGAGCTTCATAGGAAACAGTAAACCACTGAATTCAACTTCATGTTCAGCAAAGCACTTCAAACTGGAGCCTCTGGCCAAAGTTTACTGCTACAAAAAGCAAAGTGAATGCTACACAGTCAGTTTGCAAATATACTACCTGTAAAATTCTAGTATTTAAGTACACACACCAAATGCTAGCAGCATAAATTTAATATCCAAATTCAAGTGAAGAAGTAAAACACAATATTAAACATTAAAATTCACAACGCTTGTAACAACTACGTAGCTATCATTAAATACAAATAACATTTAGGTAGATCAAAAAAGGCAATATATTGATGAAACATCCAACTGTAATATTTGACTGCATTAAGAAAAATTATTCAACTTAAAGCACTCAATTGCATTGTTTTCTATCTACTTTTTTCCCCCCAACCAACTTTTCAAGTACAAAAAAAAACTTACAACCATTACTTGTACAGGTCATGCCATTATACCCTTAGTCTTGATCAGGAGCTGAAAGCATATTCCAAGTTTTAAAAGAGATAGATCCACTTTTAAAACAAAGTAAAAGAAATAAAATAAATGACATCTCTATAGAAGGAAATGTTTGTAGAAAATGTTCTTCCTATAAAATTTCCGCTGTTACAGAAACAGATCTTTGTGTGGTATTTCATATTACAGCCACTAACAGAAATATCAGGAATTATTTTTGCTTGAAAAGGCAGCATTGGCAGCACTGGCTTTTAAATGTGTACTGAAGATTACTTGCAACACAATCTTAAAAAATACTCTGAATGAAACTCGTAATACAAGGGGGCAGGAGTCATACTAAACTATTTCAACACTAAAAAGAGGCTACTGTTGTATAAACTATTACAGGTAATGAAATCTTTTAAACAATTACCTTTAAAACAAACTTAATCTAAGTAAAACAATTTAACATTGAATTGCACTAATCTTCAAAATGGAAAGTTTAAAACATATCCTTTTGAAAAATCCTTCAGCAGGTAACGTGTAATCTGAATTTCCAGTAATCACGCATCAGTGTGGTATTCTTCCTTTCATGGCAAGATTCAAAGTAACAACTACCAAATTTTTCCACTGCTCAACTTCAGGGCAATTCAAGCTGAATTAGGTGTACAGCTGTCTGCAGAAAAAGAAAAAAGTGGGGGAGGGAGGAGAAGAAAAACAGACAATTTCAGCAAGCATACTGCATTACCTATTCAAAGGTGGACTTAAGATAAGCATGTAACAAAAGCATTTGGTGCCTTATTCCACTGCTGCATTCTTCTCTTTCCTCTGCCCCCCAACACCAACTGAAATCCTTAAGTAAGGTTTTTCAGTCAGCAGTTTAAGCAACATCAGATAGGACCTCACAGAAAACAGAATTATAAATTGAGAACTTAACCTCAGTTTTTCCCTTTCATTATATAAGTTTCTACAAAGCTTACTCCTGAAATAAAGTTCTTTGGTCCTGAAGACTTTCTCAGACTCTATCTTTAACAAACAAGCTTTAAAACAATGACCCTTTGCTTCACCTTCCCTGAAAGCAAAGTATTAATGAAGACTATTTTAATATGTATGTTAGATCCTTGTTTTAATACAGTTTGTTACATCTAACTGTCAGAGCAGCAGCCTCTCATATTAAACCTTTTGACTGAGCTGTACATTTGCTACTAAGTACCAAGTTCTGCCAGACCTGCTTCATAAACTGTCTTCAACTCAAACAACAGACCAGAAAAGGGCACTAAACCCACTTCTAGTTTGAAGTGATCGACTCAATTCAGTCAGCTTATTTTACATATACACATAGTCTAACCTTGTTTCATCTTTCCTTTTCTTCAAGTTCTCCTACCTACCACAGGCTCAGATTTAAAAGTTTGCATTCCCCGACTGCAAGCAGCAGGAACAGAAAAATACTGATCTTCAGGACAAATCCTGGGTGAGTAAGATTAGAAGCTTCCAGCAGCAAAGTTAACATTAAGCACTGATTTAGCACTCCTTTATAAGCTTTTAAAACCAGTCCCATGACACTAAAACAGTAATCTCCATTTTAAAAATGAAAGAGGCCTCAGCAGTGACAGATATCCACACGTTACTGAAATTCATTACTTAAATTTCTGCAAATCAGGGAAGGAACGCAGCATCTCTTCCTGGCTGCCCCAGGAAGTAGTCTAACTATCACTACAATAACAACTCCAGTTCTTAATTTAAATCTAAACCTGGAAGCTGGAACTGTAAGTGATTCCAGGTATATAAAACATAATTCCTTTTTTGCCTGTATACATAATTACAATTGACACTATTCAGGTGGGTCTATTTTAAAATAATGTAATATCTATATACCCATAAAATAATACCTATGCAATTTCTGAGGAAAATTTCTGGTAAAAGCTTGTGAATAGCACCAAGGTGCCATGCAATTTCAAGAGACCAATTTGAAATGAGATTCAAAAACAATGGAAGCTGTTATCAACATTTCTTCTACAGAGCACTCAATTTTCTTGCTATTCCGTTCCCTTGCTCCTCTCTGCACTGCTACAACAGTGAGCTGTCTCCTTCTGGAACTTCAGCACATCGCCACGCTCCACTTCTTCACTTCTCTCAACTGAACACCTACACTCATCATTTCCTCATATTTCAACGAGCCTGATTATTTTATTTTATTTTACTTTCTTCCTCTGTTCATCTTTCAGTGAAATTCAAAGTCTGTGTTTTACTCGAGCTATTTTCAAAATATCCAGGTGACACCAAGTGGAAGGTTGTTGTACTGCTGTCTCTTCAGAACTACTGCATATGGCAACAAGCAAGTATAGTTACTTAAAAACACAAATATCTTTTTGTGTTTTTAAGTAATATCTTTGCACTAGGTACAGGAGACCACTCATCATGTAATAAGTGGGAGACTATCCAGATTTTAGGTATCCTGCCACAAAATATGTGCATGGCCAGCACAGAATGTGAAACTGCCACTGTTCTTTACACAAGCTAAGCTCTCGTCCCTATTTCCAGTTTGAAAATCTTTTTGCATTTGGGGTTACACAGGTTATAAAAGGTACAACTCTAATTTTCATAGCTAGAGAAAGAAAGAAACAGGCACTAATGTTCACAAAACCTGGCATAGGTTTTATAAAAACTTACAAATAAAATTTTGCTGTTTTGCTATTAAAAATATATAATTCTCTTCACGTTGACCATCTAGAGTTATCAGCCTCTTGGAGGTGACCAATTCATGCGAACTGAACAGACTGCTGCTGAAGTGAAGTGAATGCATTAGGCTTTGGGTTTCAGAGATTCCTTCTCTTCTAAGACCTTTTGGGCGTGCAAAATCAAAGACAATGAGAAACAAGATTCTACACACTAAGAAAAGGACTGCTTACATTTCATAGTCAAGTCTAAATTAAGTCTGCTACAAACTGCATTTAAAACAAAGAAACAAACAAAAAAATACCATAAAGAAAATAAATTTTCTTTCAACACGAAGAAAATTCCAGAATAATTGCTAAGTAATAGTATTAGGAAGAAAAGAGTATCAACACCATTTTAACAGTTTGCTATCCAGCAATAGCTTTTCCAACCCACTAAATGAGAGCAGGAGAGAAGAGGGAAAAAAAAATGAGAGTGAGCAGGGGAGAGAAAAGGAATATAGCAGGTATGGCTCTTTAACAACCTTCAAATTTATTTACCTAAGGTATTAAATTCCGATTTCTTTTGGAATGAAGTTTGATCAAATGAAGCCTCCAACCACTAGTACCCTAGAAATCAGTTCTGTGTTTTGGATGCTTCAGTATTACAGAATTGAACAATACTGAGCAGGAACTAGATGTCAAATGTAACATTTTACATTATTCACTTTTACAGAGCAGCAGCAATAATGTACTGTCAGAACTTTAGCGACTGCTTTCCCAGTTATGAAAAGCTTTTATCACAAGAATTTATAATATCAAAAATCTCTTTTTCTAGTAAGCATATTGACTTTAAGATCCTAAATAAATGTAAAGGAAGATTTCCAAAAATACATGCAGAGAACAATTTTAAATAAACTTTCCTAGTTTCAGTTCTTATGAACTATTCAAAAGCACTTATGCTTACCTAGATGTAGAAGTGCCATTTGTGCTGCCAATTCCCTCGCATCTTCTAATGTTGTACAGAGTTTGTGTGACATGAAGCAACTCTGCGAACCATCTGCAATACTCGGAATAAGTACCTTGCACACCAAATGTATTTTCCCATCCTGACTTGTGGTTGAATACAAGTAGTATTCTGGTGGTAGCCAGTTATTTTTGTAGCAAAAATAATCCAGACGCATCACAGCAGAACTGAAGTAACTGGATTTTAGAGAATACATGCTAATTGGAATAAGCTTTACTCCTGGAAGAAATGGGTATGGGTACCATTCGAGTTCAGGAGAGCTTGGACTGTGCTGACCATTAAGGCTGAGAGAAAGACTTGCAGGTTTCCCTACGGACTTCTGATGACTGTCTTCTCTGCTAGGAATTTCCATGAGATTTTCAGAACAAGGGCTTACATGACCATTAAGATGTTGCTTCCAGGTACTGTCTTTGTTAACTGGCTTTGCCAGCGTTACTTCAATGCTAGCTCCATCAATGCACTTTCCATTCATTACAGACATGGCAGCAACTGCATCCTCTCGGTTGTAGAAATGAACAAACGCATAGTCTCTCAACTTCTTTACACGTTCAACTACTCGTGGCTTGAACTTGTTGAATTCAGCTTTAATTGTGTCCTCTGTAGTAGAAATCATTAAGTTCCTTACATACAATACTTTAACTCTCCGCATTGTTTCTGCATCAACTTCTTTCTCTGGGCATGCCCAATCAACTTGAACTGCACGACCCCACAGCTGGAACGTTCCTACAGCAATGAAGGACAACATCAGTAAAAAAGATAAAAATAAAAATCATTCTTATACACTAGCTTTAGAAAAAGCAAACAAATATGATGTGTAACATGGGAAAGTTGTCTGCGTGTACTTAAGCAAAATGTGTAAGAGACCTGAAATAATTAACAAAGTAATTGGCAAAAATACAACCTTACAACCCTTTGTGTAGAGAGAGTCACACTGTCCAGTTTCCTTTTCAACTTCACTTTTACCTATTCCCCTCCTCTTTCAATACTATTAATCCCTTCTACTTTCCATTCCACAAGTAAGCCCCTTCCAACACACGATACTCTTAAAATGGTTTTCTACAAACCTAAGAGAGGGCTCACACCCCTTCACCTCTACTCCCCAAAAACACTCCTCCAAAAATTTCCTTAAAAATAGGTTTACCTGGGAGTAGCCTCCTTCTAGCCATTGCAGCTGCTCTGTGTGACTCGTATTCTACAAAAGCAAATCCACGATTTTTAGTTCTGTCTGTGGCATCTGGACAAACAATGACATCCACTACTCCTTCTGTAATTCTTTTCATTTCTTTTAGTATTTCTTCTTTCTTCTTTTCTCTTGGAATTGCTCCAATAAATAGTCTGCAGTTGTCCAAGCTTATGCAGACACCAATAAATCTCCCTGGACGAATTTCATAATTATTAAGAATCTTGATGGCTAGCTGGGCATCCTCTTTAGTAGTGTACATCACAAAAGCAAAGCCTCGATTCTCACCACTGAATTCCATCATCAGCCTGAGCTCGTAGATCTTTCCAGCTCTCTCGAAAAGAGGGACCAATTCATCTTCATAAATGTTACGAGGGATCTTACCCACAAAAACTTCACATCCACGAGGTGGTGGAGGACCTTCCCAACCTTAAAATAAGTAGTCCAGCAAAAAAAAATCTTAGGACAAGCGGCACAAGCAGACGCACCTTCACACAACATACTTTGGCTGTCAGTTGTTGGTTTTTAACTGCTGTATTTGTATCTTTTTAGATTTCAAATGCTTAAATACAAATTGTGCTAACAGGATAATTTTTTTCTTTAACATTCATCTGCTTCTTTCCCTTGAATTCGTATGACAAGCCACTGAAACCAGCATTATTTAAAACATAACAGCATTTTAAATAGCAACAGACACGAATTGATTGCAAGAATCTGCATTTAAATCATTTTTTACTTCTCAAAATCATCTGTTACATATTAATACATCTAATATAATTGCTAGAGAAAGAACTTGCTGTATTTTCTACTTGTAACATTTCGGAGTTACAAACATTTACCTGCACTTCTTGCCCATATTTTAGGAAGTTTTAGTCAGAGTCCCCAGTGCCTGTATTTCTTTCCCCCCAATGCCATTCAAAAGGTCTGTACATTTTGGTTCCACCTTCTCCATTCATCCACTGTAAAAAGACATCCTAAGAAGGTACGATATGGGACAATCATTTTTTTCCAGTGGCCAAAAACCGTGAACATTTTTCCTCTTAAAAAGAGATCAGATTTCACAGGTTGGAGCCAGATACTACAGGAAAAAAAGTAATAGTACAAAGTTCCACAGAACAGATCCATGCTTCTGGCCCTTCTGGTCCATAAGGATATGCCTAAACATATGTATATATAGTCTTTATTTCATATCTCTGCCACATGCACTGATAGATATGTTCAACAATGCTATCCTAAACTAGAAATAAAGCCCAAATTCAGCATGAAAGATTATAACTATTTTAATAAGTTGAGGGTAGAAGTAGATAACCCCACCTTCCAGAGTTCCCAAAATCAAACATAAAAAAAGTCATCAGGTTCAATAGAGAAATAGTGGACCAGAAAGTACATTTCTGACATACACAGAAATATAGTATAGCTATCCTTACACAAAACATACTTCAATTTTATTACCTCAAAAAAATGCTTACCTGGTGGAGGCCCACCAAATTTTCTTTGCCCATTTTCTTGAATCATGTTGTATCCAGTCTTGTCTAGGAGGGCCAGTAAGGCAGAAGCCTTCTGATTACCACCTCTCATTTTGTCAGGTTCACTTGTTGCAGCCGAATTCTCTTCATTCATATCTGCAATAACTTTAATAGAACATTATGGATATTTCAACTCAGATACTTAAAAGCTGCTATTTACATACAGAAGCCACCAGGGCACAGAAACACATACTATAGTTGGCTATTTCCTGTGACTTCAATGAGCAGCATAAAGCTGCAATCCTATGGGCAACTGGTATCATCTATGTACTTGATTTCAAAGCATAGTAGTGAACTTTAACCAACAATTATATGTTCCAGAATAAAGTTTTAATTTTATACAAGTCACATCATAGCTATTTTATAAATATAAAATTGTCTCTTCAAGCACGGTAATTTTACTTCATAAAACTTGTCTGTTGTACAGAGACCTAAATGCCATCTGCAGTGACAAAATCCACCCCCTTATCACTATAATTTACAGAAGCACCAGCTTCTGAATACTCCTGAAATGCATTATGTCCACCGCTAATTAATTCAAAGAATTCAAAGAATTTAGTGACAAAAATAATTTACATGAAATCAATATTTAATAAAACTTGGTGGAACTGCCTGTCAAAACTAAGGGACTGGGATTATTCCACTTCCAAGTTCCTCATTTTCATGCTTTTATCCACTTTCATGGTGTTGGACTCGATCTCTGGAGGTCCCTTCCAACCTCTACGATTCTGTGACTGTGTGATTCTGTGAAAGCAAGGAGCTTCACCAATTGTTGTTACTACTACATCCACTATTTGATGTCATGTGAAGATTTCCTTTGGTTTCTTCTAGGTCACAGGGAACAAATCAGACCAAGCAGCCTATACAGTAATTTACGAACTTCTCTAGTTGATTTAAAAAAGTAACTTTAAAGTCAGATTCCTTTTCAAGGCCTTTCTCTCCTTGCCCTATGTTTTCTATTCCCCAGATTTTCTGCCTTAAGGTCTGCAAGGCTCACCCAGGCAATCTTCACCACTTCAATCCCTTGCCCAAGCGGTACATCCAAGTGCTACGCTCTTTACTCTCCAAAAGAAACGAAAAACCATGAGATACATCATCTGTAACTTTTTTTTTTTTTTTTTTTTTTTTTAACATCCCTTATATTTTAAACTTGCTTTATCAACAAGAAATTGAAACTTCACTAAGCAAAACCCTGAGGAATCCCCCACCCCCTGGCAGGAGAAGCAGTCGCAGTCACATCCATTTCCTTCGGCCCGAAGCACAAGCCACTTGCTCCTCTTCAGCCTGTTGCTCTTCTTGCCCCCTCACTGAACCTCTCCTAGCTCGATCACAAGCACACACCGCTACCTACACAGCCTACTTCACACCCGGCTGTGACCTCCCAGCGCTGCGTGGAGCAAGCATTACCACAAACGAAGGCACACGCTGCACACACGCATCGTTATCCCCCCGTCTTTCGGCCTCCCCGCTAAAGCCAGCAACCAGCTGGTAGTCAGAAGTCCTACAGAAGTCCCTCTGAGACCGGTACCGCACCTCACACTAATATTAGCCTTTAGAAAGCGAGAAGAGGTTTTCACGAGACTCCGTGCTATAATTACTTCTTTTTCCTTCTTTCTTTCCTCCCCTCACCCCGCGGCTCGGCGCAGCACGGCGCTGCCCAGCCCGCGGCCTGGCGGAGCTGTGCGGCAGGTGTAACTGACGGGAGGCAGGAGCCAATCAGCGCCAGGCTCACAGCGGGGCCCGGCGTGCGAGCGCTTTTAAAACGGGCGGCAGTTGGCTGAGGGCGGAGTGCGCGAGATGGAGCTGTGGAAGCGGCGCGCTGGGCTGCCCCTCACATCTGTGCCTGTAGCACCGTGCGGTCGCGCGTTTGTCCTTGCTCAGATTTGGACCTAACAACAAAATAATTAACGTAATGAGGACAAGAGGCCCCCTCTCCCTTCCACACGCACCCCCACACCCCTCCCCAGCTCCTGAGTGCCTCTGCTGAGAGCAGATGGGAGACTCACAGCTAAAGTGCACTCATCAAAGACTTCTCCTCATGTATGTCTTCCTTCAGCTTTAAAGGCAAAAGTGTTCTGCATAAGCTAGAGAATCCCAAAAACTACAACTGTGCTCCTGAGCTTTTAGCAGTGTGTTTTTAAAGATGTAGAACCAGAAATCTGTATTTCAGTACAGCGTGTCAGATACTCACTATTTCAGTTTGCTTGGTTGTAATTTTCAAAGAGGAAGCTTTGCTATCTTTTTTAATCAGTAATGGCGTGACACACTAATTAGGTATTTTACATACTTTACAAATGATATGTCTCCAAGTAATAGCGTGAATGGCTAGAATTACTATTACCTTCAAGATTAAGTGCCACCCCTTCTCTTTTCTGGCTATCTGCTGGTTTCTTGTTGTTCTTTACTACACCTAACTCAGCTGTGAAATCTCTAACAGCAACGAGTTAGGAGTACGTTACAGTAAATAAAGTTTTGGGTGTTTGACTGCAGCTCATTGTCCTTGTTACCTTGGAGCCTGCTCACTTTCTAGTAGAAAACCCCACGTGCTCAGTTGCTACTGCTTGTGGAGAGTGCTGAAGGCATGCAGACAATGGCTTCTAAGCAAAAAACCTCTCACTCATTTTCTCAGTGCTTCACCTATGTGACATCTTCCTGGGCAGATTACTGTTGGCTCTTGAACAGCTACCCAGCTGGAAATTTTAACTCATTCCAGTAATTGCCATCAGCAGCTTTCGAGGAAACACACAACTTTGCTGTCAGGTTTTTCTCTTTATGACGTGACAGAAATAAAATACCCAAAAGGCCTGCTTTCTTATTTCTTGTTAAACATCAAAGTCGGGCATAGGAACTAAAGATTCACTAGATTTTCTTGCTGACCTCTACCCCTATTTAAAAGAAATTAAGATCCTTTCCTTCTTTGTTCCACAGGTGCTAATTGGGGAGTACAGCTCTCATTATCCTCTTCCCCACAGGTGTTTGCTGTTTATTTCTCTCTGACAATCTAATTCTTTGATATAATTTTTTTACTAAGAACAACTCTTTCTAACCTGTATTTGTCTCAGATTTTGCTACGGCTTATCAGATGTAATAAAGTTTGAGCTGAATGTTTTCATGTGCTTTTTGCTGTTGTTTTTTTTTTCCCCGATAACAAGGCAACATTTACAGGGAATACAATATTCATCAGTGTATCTCATAACCTCAGGTCTTCCAAACAGAGATTGCACACATGAAAGCATCTCATGACTAAAACAAAGCCATTTATCAAATCCAGACTGCACTCTCTGAAACACTGCTTTGCTTGCATTGGAAGTAGAAGAATCCTCACCAAACAAACCCCTCAGTCAATTATCTAGAAGTTAGTTAATTTTAATTATTTATACAACATGCAGTTGTGTTAAGTGAGTTGGAATAGTTGGAGAGGACAGACTTCTCTATTTCTCCTCCACACAGGCACTTAGTGCAGCAGATTCTACCTTGTGTTTATGTCTTCCCCCTTCTCTCGCATAGTGCTGGATTGCATTGTGCATTCAGAGACGCAGCTCATATATCATTTGGAAAGCTGTGATAGAAGAAGGCTGATTAACATGCTAATACCCATTTCTAGCAGTGACAGCTGTTCCCAACAAAGTGTTATTTCTCTCAGTTATAACAACGCTTTTCCTCCATAGAGAAATGGCACTCATCTAAATTAATGTCAAGTTTTGATTCACTTTTTTTTTTTTTTTAAATGAAGACGTAGTAAAGCATAGCAAAAAAGGACCAGGTTCAGAAGAATGTTATTTATCAGAGTATACATTGCTTTACTGCTTTATTGAATTGGTACCTTACTACATACCTTTTTAACTTGTGAACCTGATAAATACAAGTCCTCTGTTGGGTTATCTTACAAGAGTTGTAAGTATTTGGCATAAATTTTAGTTAGAAAAATTCTCACAGTTGCAAACAATATGCTGTCTACTCTAAAGCTTTATCAAATTCCACTTAGTGTCAAGGAGACACTGTGTTAGTTTCCTCATGAATGTCTTTTTGAAACTGTCACAAGTGTGATGGATGAGGAATGAAGGCAGTCCTGCCAAGTTTGTGCTGTTTATTTCTTTGGCTAAATTTGAAAATGTGAAAGAGGCCTTTTTCTTACATATTTTATAGCACTGCATCAGACAGTTGCTTTTCTTTTCCTCATAGGTTATTTTTGGTAGCTGTAATACTGAAGTCCATTATGTTTTTTAACTTGTTTCATTGGAACGCTAGCAAGTCCCAGCATATATTCCTGGAGTGGACTACTGCTGCAGTCGTAATGGCTTAACAGAGGTATATGCCTTTTTTTGTCAAAGTAAATTTTACTGTGGCCTGGAACAGGAAGAGGGCATGTAGTATTTCTGCACTCTGACAGGTTTGATATGTAGATAGTGGAACTACTTTAAAAGGAAACAGACATCCTTTGAAGTTTAGACAAAGGTCTCCATAGAAAACATAGAGATAATATGATTGTAAATCTAATTATAGAAAGCTGCCTAGAAGGAATTTCAATCAGTTGGTCCATTTTCTTTCCAGTTCCATTTGATCAAATAGCCACAATGCCTGCTTAGTAGGATCCTCCTAATAAGGCATCCTTGTGCCTGAAGAGCCTGCTATCTTGAAAGGTACCATTTGCACTTGCTCAGCTTTCTGCCTCAGAAATTGCTGGAAGAAAAGATACATTGGGGGTTTTACAGTATTCCTTATTATTGAGTACTTTTTATCAAAATTTTTTTTTAAATGAAAACTGATCGTGAAGCATGTTCTGCTTCCCAGACAAACATAACAAAGTCTTACTGAAGTTAGTTGAACTAAATCAATTTTAAGCCAATATTCCTGAGTGCAGTGATGTGAAATGTGTATTACAAAATGTATCAAATCCCTTCATTTGTTCTGGGTTCTCCCCCCCCCCACAACCTCCAGAACTTTCTGCCCCTCTGTGCAACAACAGCATACCTTTAAGAATATCACAGAAATAGGCTGATTTTGATAACGCGAGGCACCCACATAGGGAAGGAGCGGCACGGCATTGTGGCAAAAAGCAACACTGTTGAGGGTTGGTGGACAAAGAGGTGAATATCGGAAACGAAAGGCAATTAGGGAAGAACCACTGGGGATGGAGATTGATTTCCTGTAGTATTGAAGCCTTCTGTTTCTATACAGTTGCACAGTTCTTTGTCATCTCTTTTTAGGCTAAGATTTTAAGCAAATTCTGAGATGGCAGCATATCCTCTGCATATCCATAACAGCAGCAATTAAAGAAGCTTGGCTGTTTTAGCACTTACAAACCACTGCCCTAACAGGCTTGAGACCAACTTTTTCTTTCTACAACATGAAGCACAAGAAGCACAGAGCAGGCCTCCTTTTGTTACACCGTTGGTCTCCCAGTCCTCACCAGAGGACCTGGAAAGATCAGAGATGGTTCCTCTCTGTCACTACTCAGTTTTTAATTTAATTGCATATGTGGACAGAAAATATTGGAATTTATAGTGGTTTTCTGTGCAAGTTTATAACATGGTTTCAGCATTGGAACAAAGCACACATCAAGTGGTAAAATCTTCGACCGTTTCTGATCTGACCTAGCTACTAACTGGAGGTTTACTTGGAAGGCAGAGGATTTTTATATCACGTTACCTTTTGAATATTTATTCACTCTGGAAATAAATCATATTGAATGCAGCAGGGAAAGCAAGGTTCAGTTTTTACTTTTTAAGTGTTTTCACTGTATTTTAAAAAGTGGAAAGGCTGTCAACAGTTTCCTTCAGCCATTTATTCTTGGCTTAAAATCCCAGTTTATTCCGAGGATCCTAAAAGGCATTGATTTATCAAGCTCATATCCTTTTAATTCATAATCTAACTGCTGTGAGCTGCTAACAAGCTTTTAAGTCAGGAAGCTCAGGAAACTCAGGACCATCAATGCCAATTACAGCTAAACAACTTATAATTTTCTTTATATTTTCCCAGAGGCTTTAAGGATATGGTGCTACATTTAGAGACGTAATTAAAACTGAAATAACGTAACATGCATTTTTAGTGCTTCTTTCATTGATATATATGTATATTATCATATTTTCATATATTGTATGCACATAGAATGCTATGACTTATTTTATAATAAACAATTTTTTTTTTTTTAAATGCCTACCTAGATTGGAAGCTTTTTCCTGCATATTCACTAGATGGGAGTTCTTGATCTTAAAACAAACCCAGCTGCTCTTAGGTGGAGGCATGCAGCTCCTCTTTCCCAGCATCATCCAGTTCTGGACTGGTACAGGATTTCTTGCTGCTTGCATCCATGGCAGACACTAGGAAGAAGCTAGGATACAACCTAGCAAGGATGGAATACTCCAGCACAACACTGTGGGACTAAGAGGTGTAATACATAATAAGTTTTTGAAGACAGCCATGGTACAGGGATAGTGGCACCAAATGAACCATTTTGAGAATTCCAGTGCAGACTTGTGGAAAGTAGTAAATTGCAGTTCCACACCAGGAACATCTGATTATTTTAA